GCAAAGGCTGATGTCATTGATTTGTGATTTTTCTTTTTTTCTAATACAGCTTTTTAAAGCTCTAAAATTTCGCCTTAAGTACTGTTATGGCAACATCCCATAAATTTTAGTATACTGTATTTTTTAAGTTTCCTTTTTATGTCTTTGATCTATGAATTATTTAGTTTCAAATGTTAGAGAGTTTTCCAGAAATCTGTTACAAATTTCTAATTTAATTCTACTGAGGTCAAGGAACATCTGTTGTGCATATTTGATTTTTGCATATGGTAAAACCACAACATAGATTGGTCTTGTTCTTGTTGAAAATGGAGTTACTTTTTGAAGAAGTGTAACTGAAACAAATAAAATTTGGATTAAATAAATGCAACTGCTTTTTCTGACTTCTATCCGTACCCTTGGGGACTCTGTTTACTTGTAGATTAGGCCACTTGAAGTTGTCCCACAGTTCACCAGTGCTCTTTCAGTTTTATTTTGGGTTTGTTTGTGTTTCATTTGGATAATCTTTACTGCTATGCTTTTATGATCAGTGAATTTTTCTTGCAAGTTAGTCATATCCAATATATTTTTAGCCTCATATTTTAGTTTTTATCTCTCACATATGGTTTCTATATTCATATCCAGTATATTTTTAGTCTCATGTTTTATTTTTTATCTCTCAAATATGGTTTCTATATTCCCTAGCCTTTTGAACATGTGGAATATAGTTATAACTGTTTTGATGCCCCTCTACTGATTCTCACATTTAATTGAATTCTGGATCATTCTTGATTGGTTGTTTTTTCTTCTCATTGTGTCTCTTGTTTTTCTGCTGATCTGCATATGTGGTAATCTTTGATTGGTCGTCAGACTTTGATTTTTTACTTTGTTATGTGCTGGATATTTTTGTGGTCCTATAAATCAAGTTTTGGTCTGGGATGAAGTATTGATTACTTGGAGACAGTATATGTCCGTGTCTTATTTTATGCTTCGTAATGCGGGTTTTGAACAGTGCTCAATCTAAAGGTAATTATCCCCTACTACTAAGGGAATACCTTTCTAGGATTGCCACAGGAATACCTGAGGACCACATCCCTGAGTGTTCTAGTCAATTCCCTGTGAATTATGAGTTCTTCGGTCTGTGAATTATGTTCTTCCCTGTGAATTAGGAGTTCTTCAGTCTGTGGGACAGGCACTGTTCTCAGGACTGTTTGAGCACCATACACATTTTCTTTACTGACTAATCCTTTTGGTTGTGTTCTCTCCTACCTCGAGTAGTTTCCTCACGTGCACGTGTGTGGTACTCTTGGATTTTGTCTGTGCACAGCTCTCTCCTGTCTGGTACTCTTCTGTATACATTGTTTGCCTTGTTCCTCTTGGGCTCTCAGCTTCATTCCTCAAGTCAGGGAGTCTGCCAGGCTCTGCCTTAGTTCTCTTCTCACTGCTGTGCCCTGGAAACTTTCCCAAGGGAGTATGCTGGGGCAATTACAGGACTCCTATCAGTTTTTCATCTCTCAGGGATCCCTGGCCTTCATTGCTTCATGTTGGTGTTTCAAAAACCATTCTTCTATTTTGTCCAGGTTTTTGTTTTGTTTTCAGATGAGAGCATAAATTGGCTTTAGTTTAAACCATCCTGGTTGGAAGCAGAAGACTTTTTTTTTTTTTAATTAGTGCTCTGTTATAAAAGCGTGGTAGTAAGTATGTATTAGGGATAATTTTTGATGACTTCATGTCAAAAGAGTCGTCACCGATTTTTGAGTGTGTGTGATTGATCTATATAGCTGTTTTTAGTCATTTCCCATTTAAATAGATTCATGTATCTGAATGTATAGAGTCTGAAAGATTATACAGAAATGTTAGGTAATTATTCTTTGTGGTAGGATTTGGGTGATTAATTTTATGTATTTGAACATGTATAATTAATCTAAAAACAGTAAACAATGTTTACAAACCGATGTAAAGAATTGAAAAGTGCTACTCTGTTAGTTCAGCCTTATTTGAAGCCTAACATGACAGATGTTGGGATAGAAGATACATCTCTAAAATCATCAAATCCTTATCTCTTAATTATCATAGAAATCTTTGTGATGCATCATTGGAGCTAGATGCATGAATCTGTCCTATTCTTCATGATAAAAGTGGTGTGTCCTAAGGAAGAATTGCACAATGACTTGAATTCTGAAGCATGTGGTGAATTCATGTCCAGTAGAGGCATTGGATAGTAGAGGAAGGTATTGGAATTGCTTCCTGCAGGTGAAGCATTAGTTGTATCTAACAGTTGATTTGTATCATGATGCAGTTGGATTTAAAATATAAAATTACTTTTATTTATGTCATGCAGTCATAAAATAATTTTTAAAATATTTTTAATTGTAAATAGCAAGGGGAAAATTTCCCAAATGCCCAACAAAGCAATGACAGACAAAGCAAAATACAAACAAGCAATTAATAATGGTGATGGCATCAACCACACTGCCACCTCCAGATTTCACACTCTTCTCTTAAACTGTGGAATTATCTGAGATTGTTTGCAGAGCTTTTCAAATCTCCATTTACAGTTTGCAATTGAAAAAAGAAGATGATACTTCTCTGACTGAAGGTTCATACTGACTGAATTTTTGATGCATTGTTAATATCCTTTGAAATTGTTTCCAGTTCTTTTAAGTGGCGTTATTAGAGACAAGTCTGTTCCATTCTCCACTTAAGTAGTGACTTCTTTCTTTTATCCTCTTGATAGCCTTTATTCTTATGTATCTGTGACCCTTATTCCTGGGTATACTAAAGAAAGAGACTTGAGGACTTGCCATTCACGTTGTCTACAAAAATTGTTTGGCCTCTGTAATGACAACCACAGAATCCAGTAGTGTGCCTTGGAGAAAGAAGAAAAAAAAAAGATATGGGATGATACCAGGAAAGAGAAGTCCGAGTTTCTTTGTCTTTTCATTTTCTTAGAAAAAATTAGTTCGTGCATCGTGTGTGTGTGTGTGTGTGTGTGTGTGAGAGAGAGAGAGAGAAAGAAAGAAACGTGTGCGTGTGTGAGAGTTTAAGAGAATGTGTATCCGTACTGTAAGTAGATATTGGGACTGTTGCCTATAGATTAAGCAGTTGTATGCTCATTGGCAGTATTTTGAAGGTGGGAAGAGAAAGGCCATCATAATACTGCATAATAATAGATTGGGTATAGTTTACAATGAAGATGCTACTTTTTAAGGATGATCATTTATTACCAGAACTTTTTAGATTGTTCAAAGGCAGAACTTGTTCAAAGGAAGACTGTTAAAGAAAAGGTCAGTGAGATCTGGAACTATATAGCATTTAATATACATGCGAAGCTATAGATACTTGGTAAGATTGATACAGAATACTAGAAGAGTAAATCAAGCCATTTATAATTTCATCTAGTATATCACATGTATAAAATTTTCTAAATGCTGTTGCAAATGATGCTATATTTTTCCCTGGCATTATAGTCTCCTAAGCACTTGTTAAAATTCCAGGTATATTATTAGCATTTGATATTCTGAAATGTTGAACTTCTGACCTTGAGTGACTGATACTCCAGACAGCATTTGCATGTTATTCATCTCCGTGCTAGACCCAAATTATTTTACTTTTCTAGTCCATATAAGGTAGTAGTAGAGCTTACAAATTTTAAAGAATTACTGATCTGTGTGGGGGTTATGATGTCTGATGTAGTTTGATTTGAATCTGTTTTCCTTTGATCCCATATTCTGCACATTTGAAGAATGTAAAATTGCCCATGAGGAACTAGGATGATCTCAGCCTCTTTTCTTTTGTGTCCCAATATATTGAACTCTAGAGTTTTGGTATGTATTATGAAATAGGAAAGTTCATAGCTTAAAAATAAAACAGAACACATTGCTGAAGAAATTGTTTTTCCTCTGCTGTTCCTTTAAGTGAAGAACAGAAGCAAGTACTGGAAAAAAATTTGAAAACTTGGATAATTTTTTTTTTCAGTTTTCTTTGTTCTACTTTGGGTAAAAGCCCACCTGCTTCTAAAATGATAAAGAGTTCAATATTGGGGCACCTGGGTGGCTGAGTCAGTCAGTTAAGCATCCAACTTCAGCTCAGGTCATGATCTCACCGTTCGTGAGTTCGAGCCTCGCACTGGGCTCTGTGCTAATGGCTCAGAGCCTGGAGCCCGCTTCGGATTCTGTGTCTCCCTCTCTCTCTGCTCCTCCCCCACTCATGCTGTGTCTCTCTCTTGCTGTCTCTCCTTCAAAAATAAATAAAAACATAAAAAAAAAAGTTCAGTATTAGCATGTAGTAGTTGGGTCCAAGCAGTTGCCACTTTACTCAGGCCTGAAAATATTTGGTTAGAAACAGTATTTTTGTACACTTAAATGTGTAGTGGTTGTTTGAGCTTCACAATTCACAGATGTGTGCCATAATCAGACAATGTTTTAATACAATTTATATTTTAATACCGTTTTGTTAACTTAGAAAAATTAACTGATCTTCAAATTTGGAAACTGAAGATTTGCTCTGTTTTTCTTCTGTGTCTTGGTATATTTTATAGCAAATCAGAAGCCAGTCGATTGATTTTGAAATAGGTAAATATGTCATTTTGCAGTTATGTTGTGTAAACTTTGAGTTGAGTGAAGGATTTTCTACTGTTGTTATTTGGTGACATTGTTGCTTTAAAAATTAGAAAAATTAGTTGCCATGTTGCTGAGTTCAAAAAGGTCTGTATATTTTGCAAAATAATCATCTGCTATTGAATAGTATAATTTAATTTTAGAGTATTAATGTCTACGACATAGTATGAACTGTTGATTTCAGTGACATCTATGAAATATTATAAAAACTCTTCATGGGTTACGTTAAACAAGATGGGTTGTATTAAAGTCTTTTTGTTTTAATTGGATAGTTAGACTATAGCTCTTCAGAAGAGGGTTCCCAAGAGTGAAGTGTTTTCAAAGTAAGAATATATAAAAATGAAATATAAGGTTTTAGTCATAGCCTTACCCTTTAATTCATGGCAAATAAAATTTATCTTTCAGACTGCATATGGCTACATCTTGTTTTTTCATATTACATCTACAAGAGGGGACAAGTACCTTTATGAACCAGTGTATCCCAAGTAAGTTTGTTGTCTTTCATTCTTTTAACAATTGACTTGCATACTTTATATTCATAAAAAACATCCCAGTTTTGCATTGTCTGAAGTGAATAAAATAAAGCCAAGTCAGTATTTTAAAAATAGTATGTCAAAAATTGCCAGGTCTCCTCTAACTATCATTACTTGAATAAAGAATTCTGTAACTAAGTAATTAGTTACTTGGGAATCTTGGGTGAATGTACTGTATCTCTTTTTGGACATTCAGGATCACTACTAATATAGTCTAGCATTCTCCAGGCCTTGTTAGGGGGGAGCTAAAACATCAGGAGGGAAAGAAATGAAATGTCAATATAAGTTACTGACACTCCTGTAGTGTTTTATACATGCAGAGAAAAAAAGTGTACCCCAAGCAGGGGTTACCTCTTGGTTAGAACTTGATCTTTAAGCTATGTTGTTGTGTATGTTTTGCATTTTTTTTCCTTAAAATTTTTGCTTTACTTTTGAAATAAAAGAACATTTTATTGAAAGAACTTTTGAAATAAAAGAACATCCTAATTTTAAAGCAAAAGATCAAATCATTAAAGCTGGATGAATATATAAGTGAATACTTACCACACTTCTAGATGGTAGGAGATGGCCAGAATTTATTAGGTATATAAGAAATTAGACAGAAAATACATTTTAATATATGAAAGTTTAAATTTCTCAAAATTAACAGGAAAAAAGAACAGCGTTAAAAGTAACAAACTGGAGGAAGTTTTTTCAGTAAATAGGGCCGAGGCTTTCTATCTTTATATTTTCATAAAATATTATATTTTATGTAATTTTATGTATAAAATATATCTTATATTTTTGTATAAAATACATCTTATATGTATAAAATATATCTTATCTTATATCTTATATTGCTAAGAAACCCAAAGATTTCAAAAGATAAATGGGTAAAAGTAATAAGAGGAAATATAACAAACACAAAAGAAGCTTGTGTTAATTAGTAGCTCAAACTAAACACTAGTAACTCAAAACATTAAAAACAAATCTTTTAGAAACATACAGTTTTAATATGTAAAGATAGTTTTTGGTTTTTTAAAAATTACTGCTCTGCCAGTAGAGGAATAGTAAAATGTGTTCTTATAAGCTTCTGATAGTAGATCTACACAAAAGTGTGATAATAGAGAATTTTGGTATGGAAGTTAACTGTGGTACATTCTTCTCAAATAATATATAATCATTAAATGTAATATTTCAAAACATTTATAAACTTGAGAATCTGATCATATTATGCTGAGTAGAGAAACGAGTCACATAAAATTATACATGTAATGTGACTGCAACTTTGCAAAACAAAACAAAAATTATCTTTATAAAAGCTAGAGCAATATATGTGTATAGTAATTGCTCCTAAATGGTAGAACTTTGGTGAGTTTTCAGCTTCTTCAGCTTTTGAATTTTCCAAGATTTTTGATTTACATACAGTATATTCATTATGGTTTAAAAGTGTCAATGTATTTGAAAAATGTATAAACAATGCAAAATTTTATTTAAAAATTGTGTTATGAAAGTTGTTCCATACTGGTTAAAATTCTTGAGAATACACTTTGGGAAAGGGAAATGTAGGCCATGTAGAATGTAACTCAGATCCCTTTAGCATAGATTTTAAGGAACTATCTATGTTTTCTGATTCCATAAGCCACCTATTTTTGTACTATAGTATTAGTTGAGGTGTAAGTTGACTTTTGGAAATCTTTTGTAAAGTACAGAAATTCTTTAAATAATGGAATTTAATTTGATTTTTTCAATAAAAAATTTTAATGCAAAAACTCTTTCGGTATATAAATTGTACTACTGTTTAATGTGTTATGGATATTTTGATAGGATGTATTTAGAAATTTTAAATGCAGTTTTATGGGTAATATAAAACTTACTTTTTCATTCTAAGTGATAATTTTGTGAGCCTTTTGAAGAACTGTTGTAATTAGTGTCTTTAATTTCATTTACTTGTTCATTTTGAACTAGCACATTTAAACCCATTTTCTTGCTTGATGTAGACATGCTCCTATAATTACTTGATTTATACTAGTATAGATGGGCAGGGTAGGGAGATAACATCTGTCGACACAATGAAAAATACCATTCCATTATTTCCTTTTTTTTTTTTTTTTTTTTCAACGTTTATTTATTTTTGGGACAGGGAGAGACAGAGCATGAACGGGGGAGGGTCAGAGAGAGAGGGAGACGCAGAATCGGAAACAGGCTCCAGGCTCTGAGCCATCAGCCCAGAGCCCGACGCGGGGCTCGAACTCATGGACCGCAAGATCGTGACCTGGCTGAAGTCGGACGTCTAACCGACTGCGCCATCCAGGCGCCCCCATTTCCATTATTTCAAGTCACCACCACGATTTCATATGTTTAGAGTGATTTGGAATAGTGTTTTGAGACTCACTTTTGGTGTTGCAGAGAATTTAAAAAGAGTTGCTTACCTTCTGATTTTAAGACTGTAGAGGACGCCCCTTAACTAAGTAGTAGTTCTGATAGTGCGTGAACTTTGCTGCATTTGACAGTATATAGACTAGAGGACTAAATAAAATACATTGTGTGTTTTAAAAGTGTGGGGTTTCTTCCACTGTCTTGACTATCATGGGTTTCACTCTGTGGCTCGGGAAAGTGTGTCCTGCCCTAGTGGCATGAGGAGTGCATTGCCTTAGTCAAAGGGCGAGGTTTTGGCGTCCTGTAGACCTGGCATTGGGCGTCCACTCCTTCTCTTTTCAGCTGTGTAACTTCTGTCAAATTACTTAATACCTTCCAAACCGGAGTTTCCTCATCTGTACAGTGAGACAACCGTAGTGATTATTTCATAGGATTACATGAGATCATGTGTATTAAGTGCTCACGTAACTGCCTAGTTTGTGGGAAAATTAATAAAGGACAGCTGCTGCTGTTAATACTATTTTTAAATACTTTTTCCTTCACCAAATTTTTACTGTGTTTCTAATATTTTAAGCGATTCTGTCCGAATAAATATATAAAAAGTGATTTAATGTGTAAATCATATTTTATATGTATATGTTAAGTGATTTTTAGTTTTTTAATATTTGACTTGATAATGTACTTGTTTCCCAGTTTAACTTCTAGTAATTGCTATATAAAATCCAACAAAATATCTTATAGGGAAACAGTTTTGCAGAGCAAATTAGAATCTCCTTGTATATTTTAGTGCCAGGCTACTGTACCCTGGTTAGTTTCTTAGATTTTCTGTAGAACCTATTTATAAAATGGGAATAAGAATATTTGTTTCTTCAGTTTGTTTGGAGGAATATAGGAGTTCATGTTTTTAAAACTTGGAAAGTGATTCATACATGGATTTGAGGAGAGTTTAAAAAAAATGTTTAGTTTTGACAGTGTATCATCATCGCCATCTGTGCCATTGTAAGCTCTGTCAAGACAGTATTCGAAGCACTTTTTCTAACTAATTTAATCCTTGTAACAACCCTGTTGAGGTAGTTAGGTACAATTACCGCAGCACAGAGAGGCTAAGTAACTGACCAGTCGATAGTCACTAGTAAGTGGCATGGCCATGATTCAGACCTAAGTGTTTAGCTTATAGTGTATTACTTTTTTTTTTTTTTTTTAGTTTATTTATTGACACTGTTGGGGGAGGGCAGAGATAAACCCAAGCAGGCTCTGCACTGTCAGTGTGGAGCCCAATGTGGGGCTCGAATCTACAAATGCATGAGATTATGACCTGAGCCAAAAATGAAGTCAGATGCTGGACCGACTGAGCCACCCAGGTGCCCCAATAGTGTATTACTCGTAACGACCAATACTTTACTGCCTCAACCTTATTTATGCCCACCTAGTCACCTGTTAGTTTGGGGTTTATTTGAGGAGTAGGGAGTCAAAAATAGGACAAAAGATCTGGAGTGGTTTATATGTAATAGTTCTTAAGAATAGAGGCAGTGTAATTGAGGCCAGTAGTTAGTTGTATTCTGTTCGGTTATAGAAACACTGTTACCCCTTGTTTCTCTTCTGTAAATTTTATGAGTTCATCACATGAGTTTTTCTAGAGTATCTCCGCTTCTCTGTATTGTGTGACAGCATCTTAACCTTAGACTGCATGTCTTTTTCCATTATGCTGCAGCTGAGAGCAGGTCAGATATCCCCATCATCTTTTGTAGTTTCCACCTAGTGTGTCCAGCATCCTTTCTGTCGATGTTGGGAGTCCACTTTCAACAGTGGTGGCATCCTTATCAAATGACTCTTTATCTTCAGAGGTCATTTATTTCTTTGATAAGTTTCACCTCTTATATCTTTTGTGCCTTTGTACATTTCATTCTGTATTAAAATGTCCTTTCACGTGAGCTATACAGACCAGTGGATGGACTTGTCCACTAAAGGTCATCTTGGCTTTTTCTTCCATGTCTTGGAACTGGCACTGAAAGCAATGGAAGAAACTGTGCCAGGGAGAAATCAGAAATAACTTATGTTTCGCTGGAATGAATGTGTTCATTTGTTTATGTTTAAATATGAGTTTAGTGGATCTTAAAGCTGTGAATCATATTTAATTTTATCATAATGAAAATCATTTAAATATGTCATCATAATGTATACTTTGTTGAGAGTAGAGATTTTTTTCTTTTATTCTGTCTTTCCACTCTGTCAGCCTTTTTTGTCAGAGACCAGCCTTCCTGAGGACAAAGTTTTATT